GGGGGGGGGGGGGGGGGTCCGCGAAACAGGAGCGTGCTATGAAACCTTGTAATTTCTGGATCGCAGCAAGCTCAGATTCAAAAGCCGGCGGCCAAATTCCGTCGACGCGACTACAATCCATGCTACAGCAGCAGCCGTGTCAACACCAACAACCTCAACACGGAGTGCAGACAGCAGGATGAGCTCCGAAACCGCACCTAATGCCGTGAAAAAAACGCTCGTGAGGGTCGCAGAAGTCCAGACAGACGTCAACGACCGTCTGCTGGTCACCCGCTGCCGTCGCTCCTGATCCGGCGGCCTCTTCCTCTTCCTCCTCTTCCTCCTCATCGCCCTCCTCAGCATCCGCCCGGCGCGTGAGAGCCCCGTCGAGCTTGATGTCATCATCGCTGCCATCGCTTTCTTCAGCGCTGTCATCGTCCCCGCCTTTTCAGAGCAGTCGTGGAGTGCGGCCATCGAGGGGGAGCGGATACGAGAGCTTGAATATCATGTACCTTCGAAGGCTTTCGGCCCACCTGGTGACACATTGTGTCGTGGGCCCGACCGGCCCTGTCACGTGCGCGTAGTCTATAAGCATTACGTCCAGATATCTTTCGCACAGCATGCGCGTGCAAGCCAGCACATGTAGCATTGGTTGGACTGAGCCGTACCCATGCTGCCGACGTCAATGATGCCCCAAGGCGTGGTGCCGTGTCTGTACCGTGCAGCATGCCTACCTACATACCGAGCACGTCTCGGAACTGTCTGCTCTCTATATTTATGACAGGAAGCATAACCGCAAATACACTGGCGAGGCACGCACAGACATGATTGAACAGACATACCTTCAGAAGAAGCATCGCTACCATCGCTATCCTCCTCCTCTACTGGTCCCTCGTATCCTTCCTCCTCATGAGCCTTCTTCTTCCTCTTCCTGCCGCTGTTGAAGCTCGCACCGCCGTCACCCCCGCTATCCGCCTTTTCGCTTTTATTGCGCCCAGCGGCTCCCTTCTCTCCGTTCCCCTTTATCTGCCGTGGTTCCCCATTCTCTGCCCCAGCGACCTTGTCTATTCGTTTTGGCAGCTTCGTACAAGCGGCTCCCTCGGCTCCTGTTTGCGCGTCGGCAGGACTCGAGCTCGCATCTCCCAATCGCTGCTGCTGGCTCTCCGATCCATTCTGCTGCGTTTGTCTCTTCTTCTTTTTCTTATCACCTTCCTCCGGGCCTCCTTCCCCACCACGTCCACGTTTAGCCATGATCAGTGAATCAGCACAGCCCGCGTCGTCTGTGTCCGACACAGAGGAGGTGATGGTGTTCGGCACCATCGACCATGCGGCGCAATTCCACGGTCACGCGAAGAGGCTACGCGATTAAGAATATGAAGCGACCACACGGGGGGCGACGGGGTAAAGGCGTACCCCCCTCGGTTGCCTTGTGCTGCTGCTGGCTGCTTCAGCTGCTGCTGCAGAGCCTGCTCTATTTCCACTCCCCTCTCTTGACCCCCTGCCAGATCAATCGAACCACTCCGATCAACCATGAAGGCGTGCGCTTTCGTAGCTGCCCTGGTAGCTTGCGCAACCAAGTCGCTGGCTTTCGTGGCCCCGCTTCAATCATCCACCCTCACCTTCTCCAGCCCCCGCTCAAGCCTTGCGGTTGCAGCAACAGCAACATCACCAGCGGTGAGTCACGACCGTGCACACAGATAGGCACACAACGCGAACCGCATTGGGCGGTGTGCAGGGTGATGCGATCGTTGAGAGTTGGCGGTAGCTGTGTCCCTGCTGAAGCCTGTGCGGGGCTCCGGTGGATGCCGGTGTGTGTGTCAGAAAAAACATGAGGGGCGGCCCTGACGAATGAAACCACATCGAAAGAGCAGCAGCACACCTGGGAGGGGGGTGGTGGCAAAGAGCTCATGGCCATGGCCTCGGATACTAACACGTGTCAAGTGGGCGGCGGGAAGTGAAAGGCCAAGCATTGCTTGCAGTGCTGCCCTCTTCGGTTGATTGTGGTGGTATTGCTGTCGTCATCAACCCAAGCGCTTGCTTCTTGTTGAATCTGCTGTGTATTTTACGACAGCAGCAGCAGTGTACAGCAGGAACTCTCTCTACGGTTAAAGGTACGCTTCGTGCTTCGGGTACAGCAGTACAACCTCCTGGTACACTATCTAGGAGGCAAAGACGTTGATCTGACTCCTTATCGTCGATTACCGCAGCCGGCGTACAGGGGGCGCGCTGTATGGGGTGTTGACGTGCCAAGTACCACACAGAGCTGCTACAAATACATCCAATTCTGGTAGTATTTTTACCCCAAGACAACTACTTGTGCAACATGTACAACCAGAACCGGTCGCCCCGGTGGTCTAATTAGGTAACCTCGCAGCCTACTACGGGCCAGGTTATGGGTTCGAGTCCCCGCAGAGTGAGTTTTTATTTCACTAGATAAATCCTGGTCTAGGATGAAAGCGACGCGCTGCAAAGCGCGTTGTTAGTAAACTTGATCGACTTCAGACGTCGCGAGGGAAGGGATTGCTGTACCCTTCTCGCGATAAAAATATCTCAGGCAGGAACCGCAGGAGGGGGTCCAACCCCCCTCTCCTGTGTGACCCCGGTTGGGTCGTCTAACTGGTAGAAGTGGAGGATAGGGGCCAGAGGGGCAGCCGGCAGAATCCAATAATGGGAGAAAAACACAAGAGAAAACAGACGAATTCCGAGGCCAGCGCGTTACTCATTGCTGGCCAAAAGGTTCTCAGGCAGTTTATCACTCAAGAGGGTGCTCAATAGCTCTGGTGGTCTGCGTTATGAGCGTCTTATGCAGGCGTACTCAAAGTCGAAGTGGCACGAGCATAACTGGGCGCTCATGAAAAATGCCCTCTTCGTTGATCCATAAGCACAAACGAAAGCGCTACACTCGGCGGCAGCGTCGGTCACCACGCGGCCCGAAGTGTAGCCGATTTAACCCCCCTCGGCTGGTGTCGATTGATGGCACCATGATAGCAAGGGCCAACAAGAAGGAAAATCGCACACTCAAGGGTACAGGTAGCTGATCGTGCAGGCAATCCCTCTTTGCTTAGTTATGCCCGAGCCTACCCAAGGTACTCTTACGCCTCAGTGGTTTCTTGATGCACGTAATACCAACTTCGGGAAAAAGCTACAAATTCGAAGCATGTGGGTATTATCATAGCTTCGAAAGATACCTGACTCTTCTCTCCCGACCGAGCACGGGAGATTTTTGAGGAGGCAAGGGTCGAAGAACACTTGCTCTCCCTCTTGCTCGAGCATTGTTCCTTCTCCCGGTACTGCATTCGACCGCCAGTCCTATCCCGTTTTTGAGGTCGGGTCGGAACGTCGGAACCAAAACGCACCATTGTCGTAGTATGGTGTCGACACGTCAACGTCGACTCTCGCATTCTCTCGACCCTCATTCTGTGGTCGATCGATTGGCCCCTCGCGCCGACGTCGTCGTTTGTTGTCAACGAAAAGCCGGCGGCACGGCAAGGCGTGTCGGGCGTCTCGATGAAGCGCAAGGGCAAGCCGAACACGAACATCGCGCAACGAGGGAGCTTCAACCAGATGCAGCAACAGGTGCCCCCCCCGCGATTAGTGTATCTCAGTCATCATAAGAACGAGAGAGTGACGAAGAGTGCCTGGCGTGCATGACGTCAGGTGATTGTTTATTGGCACCAGATTATCTTCGCGTCCGAACGTGAATAATATGCGAGTGATGCAAGCTTGATATGTGTGATGGATGAGCTCACTTTTCAGTTTTTGGCGGTAGATGACTCGTTGCAGTCGACACAACGAGCTCAGCCTCGTCAGACACAACCCCATCTTGAATTAATTTGGTGCCTCGGTGCGTTCACGTTTTGAACAGGACATGCAATATCAGGAGCAGCGAAAGGCGATGCAGTCGGGGATGCCATCTTTCCAGATCTACGTGCGAACGAAGGTCAACAACATGTGGTGAGCACCCGGAGCAGGGCTGACGTATAGTTGTGTACACGGCATGGTGCTCGAGACTTTTGGCCCCGTCACAAAACCCTAGTCGAGCGATTACTGAGGACGGAAAGGTCTATGGGAGGGCCGGCAGAGCGATATGTAGGGGTGTGACTGGGCCGGGGGGGGATGCTCCAGTGGGCAGGGGTGACGCCTTTTTCTGTATGCCCTCCGGTTGGGATTCATTGCATTGATGCTGCGGCGGGGCAATGCCTACCTCCTGGACTTGACAACGCATGCGTCCGCGTATGTATTGAGCCTGTTACGCTCCGTTGTGCCGTACATCTGCTTCAGCGTTTTTCGCCCAACCCCTAGGCCAGTGTGGCAACCATGCAGGCACGAGGATGAGACTCCCCCACGGGGATCGCACAAGATACGTGGGGCCCGCGCAGCCTTTCAAGCACGTACCGTGTTCAGGAGGGTTGACAAGCCGATGCGAACGCTCTCTTTTGTCTGATCACTTTGTTGGTGCTATGACATCACAATCAGTGGCAGCTGTGCGCACGCCCACGTTGTGCCATCCACACCAACGCCTCCCCTCGCCGGCCAGGTACCCGTGCGGGCTGATGCAGGGAGACGACAAGGCAAAGGCCACGGTTGACGCGATGATGTCGGGTCTGCTGAAGGACGTCTCGAAGTACTCGCTGGAGAAGGGGGTCGCCTCGAGCGTGCTGGCGAACCGAAAGGACCTCGTCCGACAGGTGTGTGGTGTGTGTGCGGCAGGGCGGGACGGTATTGTGTTGCACGCCGGCATCCGAGTTTCCCCCGCGGGGGTGCTGTCGTGGTGCCCTTGGCTTCTCCGCCCTTTCCGAAAAAGCCGCCCCTTTTCTTTTCGGAAGGACATCCCCTTTACGAACGAGGTGCACCTTTTCTTTGTGAAAGCCTTGACTTTCGCGAAGGACCATACATCGACGAGGGAGCTATCCCTCGGTGCTCGATCCGGGAACAGAAATCATGGAAAGAGCGAAACCACTCGCATATCCGACCGCGCTGCCACGCCGGACACACGGGGTGAATTTTAAGCCCTGTTGCTCCATGGGTGCCAACTCCGAAGGATAGCTAGCTGTTCGGAAAGGCTTCGATGAGACCTTTCCAACCACCCTGCACCGGCATTTTTGTTCTCCTGTAGAGCAATCGAGCTTGGAATATCGGGTCAATGGGGGTCTGAAATACACTACCGTAGGAAGCCTGTAGAGGCCGCATGATTTTTGATCGCGGTGACGAACATGTCGAGGACATGAAACGACAAACAGCCGTTTTGAGTGAGTGGACAGCGGTGGAATTCAACTTTCTCGCCGATATTCCACGTCAATAGAACGCCCCGATGCAGGTATCAGAGGAGGCTCACCGTGCTACATATGGTTCCAGACCTACAACGGCAAGAACATACTCTGCAGCACTTCAGGGTTGCGGCGGCGAAAGTTCTTGCTTGGAGATATAGATTAATTATTTCAATTTTCGCTTTTTTCGTGGTGTCTCCCCGCCCCACTCCTGCTGCAGGTCACCACGGCGTATCCTCAGATCGCTGGAAAGGAGCTGACCTTTGGGTTCAAGATCATCTACGCTGACTTGGTGCGCATGCAGCTTTTTTTCACCATGTTTTCGCTTCAGCTCTTGGTTGATGCTGCGATACTCGTGATGTTTTCGGAATTGCTTACACCCCAGGTTGCTGTCTACAAGTGCATAGGAATCACATACATTTGGCCGAAGGAGATGTGCTTGTTACTCTTTCTTGTACGTTTGTCGCATCTGTGGGGTATTGTTTGCCCTTCCTGAAAGTCTTCCGCGTTGCGTCGTTTGAAGGCGTAGCAAGTTTCCGGGCTACCTTGGCCGAGTCTCGTGGCATTGCGCGATGCGATGGGTTGTTGAATGGTTGGTGGAGAAAAAGGCGAGGAGATAAGTTTGTTGGAAAAGATTGGCCTCGCACGATAACACGTTTATACATCGCTTGCGAAGCTTGCCGATGCAGGTAGTAAGTAGATGTTGAGGTCATCCAAGACGCCCTTCCACTCTATGCATGTTACCCACTCTCGTCCGCCGTGCGCACACCCCACGTTACTTGCCCATGCGTTGTTTTTCTTTTTTTCGCTGCAGGAGGCGAAAATGGGCAAGCAGGAGGTGACGGAGATCACTAAGGACATGACCTTGGGCCCTCTGGATGCCTTCAAGAAGAAAATGGGGTTCTAAGAGGCCGAGGGGGTTCTGGTCGCCTTTTTTTTGGCTTGCCCTCTGCACCGGTGACGGGATAGGAGCACCTCGCCTGACCACGGCGCGGATCGGATCGAAGACAGAGGTTTAACTGCACGCCGCATGGATCCACCATTTTGCAATATAGATTTCGGCGAGTGGTAGGGGCGGGTGCATGTGCTGCGATGGGCTACCCAAGCGTCTCACATGTTTCCATTGCTCGCTGGCCGGCGGCCGGCGTTTGAGAGCTCCTTGATTTGAAATTTGACTGATTAGTTGGACGGCTGTCTGCAGCTGCTGCAAATGTAGTGGTCCGGGATTCGCTGAGTGTGATGGAACTGAATACCGGCCCTGTCGAGCGTGCGTGTGCAGCATTTTCTTCATTCGCGATGCTTAAGAAACGGAAGATGTATCTATTTTCCTGACACGTGCGACGAAGGCGCCAGCCGTGGGTTCAAGAGGTACAGATCGATTTCACTTGCTCGGGGTACCTTAAGCATAAGAAGAGTACCAGATATGTAGTTGCGTGGCCCTTGTACCAGTACGAGCACAGCGCGGGACGCCGAACTCCGGGCTTACGAAGCTTGCTCGGACACCATGAATGGTGACGACGATGTCGCCGCAGACTCCTTGCTGCCCGTAAATGTAATGAGTAGGTGAAGTCGCGCACTGCTTTTGTGGGCGACTATTTCATTATTTCCGGCTACTTGTTGTTGCCCTGGTGTGTACGATGATGTCGCCGGTTTGCCGTGGGGCCCCGTGCCCGAAGCGTTTTGCCAGCCTCTACATAGATGCTTACCATTGTGTGGTTGCCCTCTGATATCGTTCCGAGAACAGACTAGAGATGAATTCGTGCCTCAAGTATTTGTGTTTGTGAGATTTACTGCCCCAGAGTCTGGCTCAAGATGGTGGCGGTGTAGAAAATGGAAACAAGCGCTTAGTGCCTGATTGACCCAGCCGCATCTCAGGAAGAACAAGCAGCCTGTGAAACCCTTGCCGTTGCAAACAAATTGGAGGTGCAGACGTGACATAAGATACCATACCCCCAGGACCGAATCCTCAGAGCTCGACTTGTTGTGGTACACACTGCACTGCTGTCACTTGACGACGGAGCGAATAATGCAAGACGTTACGTTTTCGGAAGCTCCTCTCGACAAGAAGATTTCAACGCCGCCGTGTTCGGTTTCCGGTGCTGCCACTCTTTCTACTCTAGAACCAAGCCTTTGAAAAATCGGTCCAGGGGGTGTGGTATCTAAAGTCACCTGTAAGTCGTCCCGTGTCAAAGGGAGGCTACTTGACTATACTGACGAGACTGACATTGCCTCCGTCACGGCATTGTTATGTGAGCTCGAGGGTTGAATTCCTCAACATCGTCCTCTCACCCCCTCGCTCTCGTCAAGTGCGGTAGTTGTTTAGCCTCTGTAGATGCCGTTCGTGCCCGACCTTGCTACATTTCAGCACTACAGCTATGCTGCCGCTGTATGCGTGGAAATGATCTACAGCCCGCCGCTCGGTAGTTGCTGGACATTCAACTTTCCGTCAAAGTTACCGAAGAGCAGTACAGCGCCTCTTGATTGTTGCTACTCCGTCTAACCCACCCCCTCGTAGTGTAGGTAGGTACACTGGAATTGGTTGAAAGGTCTCTTTGACATTCTTATTTGGGGCCTTGCCGTGAAAACAGGCTTGTCTTGGTCCTTACTGAGATAGAATGACATGGGTACGAGTCGTGCTGTTGAGAGTTGAGATGTTAGTAACAAGGGTTAGTAGAAATAAAGCTGGTTGCTGATTTGTTGTTGGACACTGCTCATTTTGTTGTTGGACACTGCTCATTTATTTAAATGAGCAGTAAATGAGCAGTGTCCAACAACAAAAACATTAAATGAGCAGTGTCCAACAACAAAATGAGCAGTGTCCAACAACAAATCAGCAACCAGCAGACCAAGGTACTGCTGTATGCAGCACCTTGCACAACGTACCACAAAACGGACGCCCCTGTATCCGGGCAACCATAACCATTTTTGCTTCAGGTCCTTGCCGCAAGACATCAGAACAGTTTTTGTTCCGTTCCAACCACGTTCGATCGCGAGAGTGAGAGTGCGAGCAGGGTTTATCCGCACTCCTGCGGGTTGGTGAAAATCTCTCCCGGTGCATATGTGTAGACGGAACATCGGCATGGCTCGCGTGCACGTCCTGCCTGAGCCTCCACACCTGTGTCCTCTCGTGCAGGTCTCCTGGGTGCGGTGCGAAGAACCACAGTTTTGAAAAGTTCCGATTTTCAAAAATATAGGGAAAGCGGTTGAATATTTTTCGAAAGTGTACGGTAGATCCGGTCCAAACCCGACAACGAGTAGATATTGGATCTTAGAAGGAACGGTCATATGATATAGGGCCGCTTTCTCCTACTGCTGTGCCCTCGCCCGCCCAACCTCTCACTCACGCAATTTCTTCTTCACCTCGCCTCCACCACACGCGCCCCTTCCTCTCACATCACATCCTCCCCCACGTCCACACAACCTTGAAGCCAGCATTTTTTGGTGAGTGCCCGCGTGTGCCCCATGTGCAATTGCCCATGCTGATCCCGGCTCGCGGGCTGCCACGGACCCGTGCCATGCTTGCGTAGCTGCTTGCGTGCTTGGTTAGCTGCTGGTGCACGAGTGCGTCGAAGAACGTTGCGGTGTGATGATCCACCTCTGTTTCACCGGTTCTCGATTTCATCACGAGGATACGTGTTGTTTCCCACGCGTCGAGGGCTCGTAGGACAAGGGTGGGTCGCATTCCACGGGTTTCTGCAGCAAGCGGTGTCATGCGTCGTCTTTCGTGACTGCCGCAAAGCTCAACAGACAGTTGGTGCCTATGTAGGCTGCCGTGCATTTCGGCGCTGTTTAGTATCGATTGCGTCTCTGCAGAGGAGAGTTCTGGTTTGGATGTTTTCGCCAATGCCCCAATAGCAATTGCATTCTTAAAGTCGTGCCAGCGCGAACCGTGTGATGAACATGAGATGCCGTCAAGGCGCTTGGCATTTTGGCCGAGCACAATTCCGCGTTTGAGAGTGCAGTTTCCAACGTTGGTTCCAACAGCTAGCAACGTAATAGTTAAAAAAGCCCTGGTGTGTACCCCCTCACCCTGGATGGTTGTAGTCGTACGAAAAAATACAATAAAAAGTGTAGCAATGTAGTCTAATTAAGCTGAAAGAGTGTAGTACGTCTCACCACGAAAAATGGGGGGACTGTTGCCATAATAAAAAGGACGAAAACATACACACACACATATAGTCTATATAGTTTGCAACGTGGAGACGCGAGAAAAATCTGGCCCAACGAATACTCGCTCACATTGATGACATCCTGTTGCTCGATTACTAATTCTCGAACCGCGTGCAGTTCGCTGCGCGGGGGTAACAGGACAAGCTTGCCCTAAAGCCTGTTAAACGGTGATATGTCGGTTTACAATGCGATACGTGCACCACCAGTCGAAGCTGCGCGCGTGTGACGTCGATGTTTTCGGAAGCGAAAAACACCGGTCGGTCCACAGCGCTTGCAGTGACACCAAGAGGCTTGACTTACTAACAACACACCTCGCCTGCCTCCGCCGTACCTCGACAGAACCAAACGCTGCAAGATGAACAAGTCACTCTTCACGATGTTCGCTCTATCGCTGCTGCTCGCCCTAGCTGTCTCCTCTGCTTCGGACGGAGGGTCCTGCACCACATACGATGAGGATGTGAGATTGCGAACGAACTGCGCTTACAAGAATAGGGAACTGTGAGGAGACTGTGGTCTGTGCGCGTTGCGATACGAGTACGTGTACCACTCGAGTTTTGAAATTTTACGCATGACTACACGCACTAGTATTGCACGCGCGCCACGCTCGCTATCACTGGTCCATATCACTGGTCCACGCACGCACGCGCCAGCAGTGTCGAACATGATCTAAGACTCACGTTTGTGTGTTCCATCTTGTGCTTGACCGTTTTCAGCTAGAAGTAGCGAAACTCCTCGACGACACGTGCGAATGGGACACCTACATGTGCTGCTTTACCAACCACGACTCAGGAGAGGGGGTGACCGCGAACACCGATGTTTGCAGCGTACCGAACGAGGGTTCCGTGTACTGGTGAGTCCGTACAAGTCTTGGGTATATAATCGCCTCATTTCATCTCGACTGCTGCAGTAGAGAAACAAAACATACACCTTACTTTGCTCGCCTCCTGCTGTAGTACTGAACGTCGATATTGGAACAGGGCAGTAGCCGTAGCGTTCAACAACACTCCCCCCCCCC